TATATATATATATATATTCAATTCTTTAGATTTGTTTTAAATTTGGTTGTATTGTTCAAATAATGACTTCTTAGTATAGGATTTGCGTCTTGATATGCCTTGTTTACTTTGTTTCTGTATGACCATATATAATAAGTTATATTTCGATTTATATATATATATATATATAATACTCGTATATACTTAAACTCCAGTTTCGATCTATTTCCCGCGCTGGAGGTATATTAAATCTCTCGTTTTGGCATATTTATTACTAAAAGAATATTTTAATCTCTTTCACGTGCCCACCGAAAATCATGACACGTCTCCTTGGCACTAGACTTTTTCCCTAAAACGCTTACGTAATTTATTAAAAATAGCCAACATTCCCTTCACTTTGATCACGTGTTATATTGTTATTCCCTTATCTGAGAGAATCGGGGATCTTCTGTACACTTTTACTTAAAACTTCAACTAAGATGTACGTACATTCCGTCACTCTCCCATAATAAAGGAAAATTAGTTAATAACTCGGCCTGTGTTTTTTATTTAACGACTACAACAACGAATACATTTCATATATATGAAAACAAATAAGAAACAATCAGAACAGAATTTAAGATCAACAAAATCAACATAAACATTCATAACATAAAATGTCAAGAAAAAATGTGCGGGAATTAAATGCCGAGAGTTCTTATAGAGAGATCTTATATAGAAAGAAAATAAACAAAAGGGGGATATATAAAATAATATAAAACACAAACGCAACGAATGCGCAATAATGCTGCAATTCAAGAAGATTTGTGGAAAATATATCAATGTCATGAAAATCAATCAATTTTGAAATAAAATGGAAAGACTTTAGTTAATCGGTAAAACGCGTTAGGTTCATTCCTTTGTCACGTCTCCCGTTGGCTGCATCCCACAGTCTTAGGTTCGTAAAATTATTTCTAATATTTGATATTTCATTCGAATTTCTTGGTCTATCATAATGTTCTGGGTAAAGGACAGTGTTTTTCACTTTATGCTAGCACTGTTCGCAGAAAACATTATGATTTCTTTAATTTTTTAGCGGTTCGTATATATATTGTTTGTTTGTTTTGATGTGTATATATGTATATTGTTTGTTTTGATTTATATATGTATAACGCTTTTTCCCATGTTATCCCATGTGAACACGATAACTGAAGTAATTTTTATTTAATTTAAACCAACGTGGTATATGTTGTAAGTATAGTGAAAATCTCGGTCGAGTTCGTAGATGGGCTATCCAGCTCAAAGGGTTTGGAAATGGTGGGGAACTGAAATTTTCATTTCCCCATAAATCATTTACAATTGAAAATAGAAAGAAAATTTAAGTTAGGTGAGTTATCGCCTTATCCTAGCAAACAATTTTTGCATTTAAACTTTTTCGATAGCTGCAATTGCTTAGAAATTATGAGCTGAAAAGTGATTTTCCCTCCCTTCCCCTTCCCTTTAACTTAAAGTGCCTTTCAACCTATGCATGTTACCCCTTGTTGGAAAGCTCTCATCATTTGCAATCTCTTCTACCCTCTTTCATTCTTGCAGCTCTAATCCTTATGAGAATAGAGGGAGAAATGTTCTTTTCCTTATATCTCCGGACTATTCATTTTTCCATAATTCCTTTACAATTGAAAATAGAAAGAAAATTCAAATCAAGCGAATTACCGTCTTAATTTAATGAACAATCTTGCATTTAAACTTTTTCGATAGCTGCAATTTCTTAGAAGTTATGAGCTGAAATTGATTTTCTCTCTTCCCCTTAACTTAAAGTATACCTATGCATGTTACCCCTTTTTGGTAAGCTCTCGTCATTTGCAGTCTCTTGCACCTGCTTTCAATCTAGCAGCTATAATCTTTATGAAAAATAAAGGGCGAAATGTTCTTTTCCTTATATTTCTGGATTCAAGGAATTTATCTTTGCCTTCCAGCTTGCCGACGGGGATTGTTTTTTAACATCTAATATAAACATAAGACAGCATACTTCTACCAGATGTGAAAAAAAATTTCAGAAATATTTGTCATTGGTTGCAAGAAAATGAGTATTCTCTTCCTCTTTGAACTTTCAAAAAATTGAGATAGGTGGTGTTGGTTGTTAAGCGGCGAAATATATTCTCAACACAAATACAAACACGCAACGTGATAACAATTTTTCCTCCTAAATAGTTTTAATAGCATAATTAAATTTCATTAATTATTTTTACGATTTAAGTATGAAAATTTTTATCTAATTTTCTTTCAAATTATTTTTGAAAAAGCACAAATTATTGAAAATTTATTATGAGCAAACCGATGTATATATATATTTATCTTTGAAGTTTCATATAGAATTCATTACCCGATGCATTTTCATATAATTTTAATTGCTGTGATATCTTGAAAAGATTAAGCATGGGTAAAATATTTAGTTATTAAAATTGGTCCATTTTTCATTGAAATAAATATTTTATTAGATAAAAAGGCTTGTATAATTATTTTTAATTTATAGTCTCAGCTGTCAATACCATAAAAAACAAATTATTGAATCTTTTTATTACTGTGAAATTTAAAATTATGTTATCTTTTATTATTGAAAAACAGAATGGTTAAAATTAAAATATATGTGATCATATCCCTGTCGATAAAGAAAACTATCAGCCATACAAAGGAAAAATTTGCATATGCGAGTGATACACTTCAAAACGTGGGGAGAACAAACGATGCAGAGCAGTTTCCAATAATTGACTATTACGTTTCTGAATTCAAATAACATGTTTCGGCATATAGTACAACCGAGGTTAACCGATATAAAGGAGGGGAAGCCGTTTAGGATAACGGTCTTTTCGATTAATCCATGAAAATCTATTACCATTTTGTTTCTAATTCAGCGAGTAATTCTGAAATGTTTTGAGCGTAAAACGAATTCCAAACTCTCTTTGTAGGCTACACTTATATTCTTTATTATTAACCCTACGTTGGGGGCAAAATTCGCAGCGGCCGGCGAGTTCCGGGTCAACGCGCCTGATAGGTACAGATAAACAATATTGTAATTAATATTGATAATACCCATTAATTTTAATTTTAACATTATAAAATTAATCACTGGCCTTCTTGAGGAGGCTTAAAAGAAAAAAGTGGGGATATCGTTGCAAAAAAGCCTCGCCTTCGTGAGTATTTCCGTGTAGTATAGTTCTTGTTTTCTGGATTTGCGATTTCAGAGGCTACTAACCATTTTCTGATAACCCAAGTTCGATTAACCGGGGTTTTACTGTACTATGTATTTTCTACAAAATTAATAGCAGATTAGAAATAACCTATATGCTTTAATGGTAAAAGAAAAGCGAGGAAAGTTCTGCAGCTTTTGCGAAATATAATGCACCTTGTCAGTTGGGATTCCATGCTGTAATAGTTAGGACATTATTTAGTTTTCTTAATTCAATGAACAAGATCATTTTTTTATCTTATAAATAAACGAGTATTTTTGAGATCTCTTAAAAACACTCATTTGCTGAAAGCCGTTCTTCAGGATTTAATCTTGAGTACGATTTAAAAATTGTCAATTATATCCTTGTACCATTGATTTCTCTCTCCATATGTATTATACAAACTTATGCTACTTAAGACTGTAGCATTTAATTTTTAGAGTAAGAAAGCAGCGATTTATTTATTAGATTGTTTATTTTACCAATTTGTTTCATGATTTCTATCACTGAGATTACCTAAACCGTGAGTCAACTTTGAGAAAATCTCGTACGAGACTTTCATTTATCTGATAAAATAACGTCTTGTTTGATCAGATTTCTACGAGTAAACAAATCACAATTTATAGTGATAAATAAAAGCTCTCGCTTCCAGGTTCCATGGTGTAATGGTTAGCACTCTGGACTTTGAATCCAGCGATCCGAGTTCAAATCTCGGTGGAACCTGAAGCGAGTTTTTTTTTTGTTGCGAAAACGAAATATTTCGCATACATTATAATTATTTAAAGGCAATAGTTTATATAAAATTAATTATCTAATAAATAGACGATTCACACAAAAACATTCGAACTTTTATGCACAAATGTTAATAAAGTAATATTATTATTTGAAATTTCTTCTATAAGCTCTACTCAATTTCTATTTAAACTGGAAGAATGCGAAAACATATAACAGTTTGTTTTTAAGTCGAATACCTGCCGAGACATGGTTCCATGCTGTAATACCGTGGTTCGCAAACTATTTTCAATTCCGACCCCCTCACTTTATGTAAACTTTTTTCGCGACCACGTTTTTTGAAGAAAAGCCTTACATTTTTTATTGTCAAATAAATTTCTTTGAATTTAGCGACCCACAAAAATTTTCTCATAACCCCCATAGGGGTCGCGATCAACGGTTTGCGCACTACAGGTGTAATGGATGCATGTCGATTTTAAATCCAGCGATCCGATTTCAAATCTCGGTGGAACCTGAAGGGAAGTGAATTTTTTTTTGTTGTTAAAACGAAATGTTCGCATACATTTATATTTAATTAAGAATACTAATTTATAATAATCATTATTTAAATTAACGAATTCAAAAACATTTGAGCTTTTCAGCACTAATAATAAGAAAGTCTATTCTTCTTTGAAGTTTCTTCTGCAAGCCCTATATCATTTCTGTTTAAACCAAGAAGAATGAGAAAATATATTACAGCTTGAGCTGAAGTTGAATTGCTTCGGAGACATGGTTTCATGGTGTAATGGTTAGCACTCTGGGCTTTGAATCTAGCGATCTGATTTCAAATCTCGGTGGAACATGAGTGGAATGTTTTTTATTGATAGAACGAAATGTTTCACATGCATTTATATTTAATTACCGAAAATAATTTATAACAATCATTTATCAACTGGACGAATTCAAGAAGATTGCAGATTTTGAGTAAATGATAAGAAGACTATTCTTATTTGAAGTTTCTTCGGTAAGCACTTTTCCATTTCTGTTTAAACAGCAAGAATGCGAAAATGTCTTACAGTGACCGCTAAAGATCGTAAGAGACGTTGTTCTATGGTGTAATGGTTAGGACACTGGGCTTTGAATCCAGCGATCTGAGTGCAAATCTCAATGGAACCTGAGAATTTTTTTCCTATTTATTGATAGCAGAAAATCTATCAAATTCATTTAAAATTATAAACAATATTTCTTATTAATGTTACTGTATACTTTTGTATTATTATTTGATACTTAAATTCTTTAACAATTTTATTTTATATTAAATGAAAAAAGAATCTAAACAATCTTATATTTCATGTATCAATCTAGGGTTCAACACACACTATCAAATATCTCAATGTGTTATTCATCTATCAGGTTTATGAACAAAGATCAGGAAGTGTGCCAATGAGTTGGAGTTTCTGACAAGAGTTTTCTTCAGTCATAGATTGAATCTTGCTTTTCCTGGCCAAAAAAATGAAACAAAGTTAGTTAAGTATTTTTATTGTCACATCAATTTCTTTATAAACCTAAACATAGTAATTAATTGGAAAGATAGATACTATTATTCTCTGCAATATTCTTAAACTTGTGTACTCTTTGAAAATATTGTTACAAACATGGAAAGTCGCTTCCCAGAAATGCGAGTCTTATGGTTGGGAAGAGAGTTTTACAAGGTTAAGCATGGTGTGACCTCAGCGACAGTTATGGCACCCTGACCTTGGCGACCATTTTGGCGATTTGGCGACAAATTTGGCGACCTTGGCGACAAATAGATGATTCCCGAAAATGCAACCCTTTTCTCGATATTTCTACTAGGAAAGGGAATACACGAGAAAACACCAGGTGACGTCACGGCCTGTCGGAGAGAATATTTAAGGACGGCACTTAGATCAGAGGAGCGTCTTTGATCGACTGGTTACTTCGCTTTGAAGCGTGAACGTCTTCGGAGTTCTATCCGCTGTGTGAGCTAATCAGCTGGTGAGCTGAGCTGTTATTGTCGTTACTAGTTATTTGCTGACTGTTTGTGTTGTTAGATATCAAAGTGCTGAACTGTCATTACCTGTGAATTGTTGTCTATTTACATTGGTAATCTGTGCAAGGACTATTGTTTCCTGTACCTGTGCTACCTGTTTTCCTGCATATTTGTAAATAAACCTTCATTATCCATTATCCTGCGTGTTGGACTGTTTACACCATACACCCACAGTAAGACTTAGTGCAACAATATGCTTAAGTTCATTTATTCTTTCTCCTCTAGTTACGCCTTTGAATCTATGCTAAAAAAGAATTGACTTTCAGCTTATTCCAGAAGAAAGACTTTTGTAAAGAAATGAAACTTATTGAAAATGCAACAAAATGATGTAAGCTATTGATAAATAAATAGAGTACAGTAAAAAGAAAACGAATTCACAATTTGAGATACTTTGCATAATACATTTCTGTCAAAAGGAAGGAAAAATTTCCAGGATAAATATTTTGCATGCAGGGAAGAAATCAATACATGTTAGAATGATTTTGATTGAAATAACAACCCGCTAATATTGCAGCTGCTTTAGTTCCAAATTGTATGAGGGGATCTTGAATTTAATACAAGCTAAACAATGCTAAGTATATGGGGAAGCTCCATATTAATTCGGCTATAAATTCAATAGTCAAGCTATGTAGAGCAGATAATCGTAGAATTGGAAACTGGTGTGGGAATGTCAACCTTTACATAAGATCGAGTTCTCAAATTGCGAAGCGTATTATCCGTTCATTTTTGAAATACAAATCTCATTTTAAGTTAAGTTAAAAGTTACTGAATATAAATGTTCTTTTTAAAATTAATGGCGAAAATTATTTTAAGGATTTTTCTGCTTCATATGTGATACGAAGCAGAATTAATCGATAGAGTTTATTCTTCTAAATATAGGGGAGAGTGGGGTAAAACCGGATACTTGATTTTGGCGTTATTGATTCTTCTTTCTAGCGGAAAAACACAGAATTATTCTCCACTAGTGAAGAAAAAAGAATGGTCATAGTTTTCATGTTGTTGCTGTTAAATTCACTTCAACTGTGAAGGTTTATTTATTTTATGACGTCAACTCTCCAATGTTCGTTTCTTTTTAAACTATCCTTACTTATTACTCATCTATATTAGAGAAAACGTGCTACGTGCCAAAGGGATTCTGGCAGCTTATGAGATCATAAATTTCCCTTTATATGTCTACAAGTTAGCATACACACAGAATGCTGTTTGATTCTATGATGATTTAATATCAAATAGGAGTTATACCAGAATTAATTTATTCTCTTAAATCTTTCAGCATTTTTGTTGTTTATTTTGTGTATTTTTTCCTTATGAGTTTTGGGAAACATTGAATCATTTTGCTAAATTATGGGATCTTCTAAGTATCCAGCGGACTGGTAAACAGTATAAATAGGGAAGATTTCACTAGAAGGAAACAGGTTATAAGTATTTTTAAAGTTTCTTATTAATTGTTTTTAATCCAGCTTTAGTAATTATTTTTGATTTCAGCGTTGGTAAACAAAAGATAATTCATTGGAATTGTTATGAAATTACATGCATCCGTAATTTTTTTCCTTTTACGTATTTAATTTTTGAATTGAATATTTAAAAGGAAGGTCGTTATTTTCAATGTTATAAATTCTTTTTGAATTAATTATGTTTCGAATGTATCGAAAGTGTTAATTTTGCATTATTTTTACTCGGACAGAACGAAACTAATTGTTAAAAGTAAAGTTATTTACAAAACGAAAGTTAGTATCAATTGATTAATGAGTTCTGTTTTTCATGCTACTAATTTAGAATACTTTCGTTTTTGTTAAAAGATTTCGTACTTAAGATTTGAATTTGTGGTGCATGCTATTGCTGATATTTTCTTTTGGCAATTTTGTATTTTGGTAATGCGTTTTTTTTCTGTTATTAGATTTTGCATTATTTTCATTCATATAAAATGAAAGTTATTGTTAAAAATAAAGTTATTCTCAAAGCGAAAGTTAACGTCAATTGAATCATCAGTTCTGTTTTTCATGCTTTTTTAAAATTTCTTTAACACTTTGCCCATGTGCATGAGATTTTCTTTTACAACTTTCGTTAGCAAATCTGTGACAATCAGATCTGAGATATTGTTGGCGGGTTAAAAGCCCATCTTAGACGGGCAAAAATCTTCTAGTTACAATTATAAACACTGTATTTAGTCCAGCTTATTATGTGTTTACTAAAGATTTATATCCTATCAAAGAGTAAAGATTTATTAAAACAATTGAGTAGTTCTATTTCGTTTTTTATAACCTCTGCACTCGAGTTAAAACCGGATACTTCTTGTTGGGTAAAACCGGGTACTGGGGAAGCTACGGATACCCGACCCAAGAGGAATTTCTTAGGTTGTGAGATAGTTGGTAGTTTGTGAGAGCCATTCCTATTTGACCTTTGCATCAAATGATCTGATGGTAGCATTTCCCATTTATTCCTATTTCCAATATTTTCTTTTTCTGTGATAATTTCAAACAATACAAAGAATTATTTTAGTCAAAATTTTAAAAAGAATTAAAATTTATTTATTCCATTATTTCCTCGCTTGCAAATAAACGATTTGTATTCATTTTTTCTTACATAAAACTTAAAACGCATGCAAAATTAAAAATCTTTTGCTCGAAGGCTTTGCAATCGTTTGGTTTTATTTAACGCTTCGACATTTGGACTGAGCTCATCTGTTAGCTTGAATTTTAAAGAAGAAAGATTTACGTAGAATACAATGTTCTTCTTTTGCTTTTGGATTTGGATTATTTTTCTTCCTATGCTTTTGGGATTTTGATCATTAAAATAGTAGGAGAACCCAGTAGGTCATTTACGTTTTTCCAATTTCTTTTTTTATACAAAATTTGTTAGATTCTTACATATCATTTTGTCACTGTCAAAATATGTAATACATATATGTCTTACATATCATTCTATTGTAATTACCAAACCAGCAGTGTTTCAATGCGCTAGTGATATTACTAGGTTCAGGTTCCCTATTAAATTCCTACAGATGTTATCACTTATTTAGATACGAATGTTGCAAATATTTTTAAATTGATTGTCATTATTCTAAATTGTTAACTGTTGTAATTATTGATAAATCTTTAAAAAAAACTGTCTTTTTCTGAAATTGTCAACTATTGTAAGTATTGTTAAATCTTAGAAAATTGTTTTATTGTTAAATTGACACATAAAATAAAAAATATGCTACTTTTCCACTGAAAATCGAGTTTTTCCTAATTTGCCATAGAGTTAACAAGTGCATGCGGTTTTACCCACTAGTGGGGTAAAACCGGATGGCTTGACTTTTTCTACAAAAAAACATTAGTAGAAAAGATAGTAAAACTTTGTCTTTTCCTGAAAGATAAATTGTACTCTGATAAATAATGAATATTTCAGTAAAATTTGACAAGCTGTTTGTCGAATATTTTGTCTCAAACAGCCTTCAAACCTTAGATATCCGGTTTTACCCCAGTTTCCCCTAATTGTAGAATTGTATTTGTTTGTTATTCCTTAATAGAATTGAAGGATTGGGAGGATCTTTAATATAAAGAATCCGCCGAACGGAACAAAATATGCTGATTCAAAAGTGTTTCATTAACAGAAATAGGGCACTTGAAACAATGAGCTGATTCTGCTGTAGCTCAGGGATGCCATTGATTGAATTTAAGCATATTAATTGTATTTTTTATCAAATCATCATCACCTTTTTAAATCATGTGACCGTTAAAATCAATCATGTATATGATCAGGGGTGACGGAAGCTGTCTTGCATTATATAAGGCATTAATGAGAGAATGGATGATTTTTTCCTCAATTGTTTTATTGGATAGGTATTTTCGGTTGGCTGTAGGCGCTCAAATTCCAAGCTACGGTTCTGATGCGCGATGAATTATTTTAGACCAGGCCGCTGAAATTTGTTAAGACGACCTTGAACAGAAATACACGTATAAAGCTGAACATTCACCATAAGGCTGCTCTAATCTATTTGGAGGGCTCCTCAGCAGTCACTTTCCATTTTCAACGCATAAAATTTGGTGGGTCTTTCACAGGTCGGACTGCGCTAACCGTAACTACGGGCAACCAGATCCCCTAGGCTACTGCGCCTCCTCCT